GCGCCGCCGTGAAGCAGTGTCGGGACCTGTTTGTTTTTCAACCCTGACCCTACGGATCTGCGTCACGGGTGCCACCGGATTTCAGAAATGTGGCAAATCCTTTTGTGTTTTTGGATCCTGACCCTACGGATCTGCATGAGGGGTGCCGCCGGATTTCAGATATGTGGCAAATCCCTTGTGTTTTTTGGACCCTGACCCTGCCGATCTGCGTGAGGGGTGCCGTCGAATTTCAGAAACGTGGCAAATCCCTTGTGTTTTTGACCCCTGACCCCGCCGATCTGCGTGAGGGAGGGGTGCCATCGGATTTCAGAAATGTAGCAAATCCTTTGTGTTTTTGGACCCTGACCCTGCCGATCTGCGTGAGGGGTGCCGTCGAATTTTAGAAATGTGGCGAATCCCTTGTGTTTTTGGACCCTGACCCCGCCGATCTGTATGAGGGGTGACAGCAAATTTCAGAAATGTAGCAAATCCTTTGTGTTTTTGGTCCTTGACCCTGCCGATCTGCGTGAGGGGTGCCACCGAATTTTAGAAATGTGGCAAATCCCTTGTGCTTTTGGGCCCTGACCCCGCCGAGCTGCGTGAGGGGTGTCAATTTTTACCCACCCCAGCAATTCAGACAACACGCTCAGGGCGTTGTAAAAATGCCCGTTTGGGGCCTCCCCCCCTCGCGCGGTCCATCAACAAGGAACAGTAAGCAGCAAGAAGTCACCAAGGAACAGTAAGCAGCAAGAAGCAGAACTGTAACAGTGGAAACCTGAAGCTGCAACTGGTACAGGAAACGGCGAAGCTTCGTCCTACAGCCTGGTGGCCCCACAAGGGGGCTGGCGGATCCTAAAAATATGGGTGGTTTGGTTTGACACATCTGCAAGGCAGACCCCCTGCCCCCAATGTTTTTCCCCGATCCCCTCAAAGAGGATTAGGGGAACTTGTGTGCTTATCACTTAGGAGTCGCCGATGCACGTGACAGTGACCTCTCGCCAGAGTGACCTCTGGTGCGGGCGAGCAGGGGTCCCGCAGCAGTGGGTTGTATGCTTGGATTCGCCCCCCCCCCCCCCCCCGCGGCGCCCTCAGGCCGCGCCGAGGGTCACTCCTGCGTGCGAGCGGGAGTGGCCCTGGTGCTGCCGCTGCTGCCCCCTCCTGCTTCCCACCCCTAGGCTGCAAGTCGCGGAAGCTCCCGCCAGTCCTGCGCTGACTGTACACTCGCGAAACGCGCCCAAGAGCGCCCAATGGCGCGCTCCACGCCCCACAGCGCCGAAAGAACGCGCTGTGTGGACGCTGGGAGGGGGGGGGTTCGAACCGGGAGGGCCGCCCCCCCCCCCCCCGAGATGCAGGGGTGTGGGGGGGATCGAACCGGGCGGGCCCCCCCTTCAAGAGGGGAAGGTTTGGAACCTGGGCCCCCCCCCCCCTGAGTTGCAGGGGGGGGTCGAAGTGGAGGGGTGGCCCCCCCTCCTCCGTCCACAGAGCGGGGGGGTTTCGAGCCAAGTCAGCGGCCCCCCCTTTGTTCAGGGGGGGGGGGGGGGCTCGAAGTGGGGTGGGCCCCCTCCCCCCTCGAATTGCAGGGAGGCGTGGGGGGGGGTTCGAGCCGGGGGGGCCCCCCCCTGAATTGTAGGGAGGGGGGTTCGGACAGCGACGACGGGAGGCCCCCCCTGCAACCGATGACGCGAGCACCAGTATTGGCGCCGTCGCCGTCGGGCAGCGACGACGACGACGACGACGACGCCCACCCCGCCGACGCCGACGCCGACGCCGACGCCGACGTTGACGGCGACGGCGACGGCGACGGCGACGGCAACGGCGACGGCGACGGCGACGGCGACGGCAACGGCGACGGCGACGGCGACGGCGACCGCGACGGCCACTGCGACGGCGACGACGGCGGCGGCGGCGGCGGCGACGGCGGCGGCCGCGACGGCAACAGCGACGACGATTGCGACGGCGACGGCGACGGCTACGTCGACGACAACGATGGCGACAGCGACGGCGACGGCGACAGCGACGGCGACGGTGACGGCGACGGCGACGGCGTCGGTGTTGGCGACGGCGACGGCGACAGAGGCTGCAGCGACGACGACGACGACGTCGACGAGACGACGACGCGCACAGGGGTTCCCCCCCCTGAGTTGTGATAAAGGGGAGGGGTTTGAACTGGGAGGGTGCCCCCCCAGGGCAGCGACGACGACGACGGCGACGACGACGACGACGACGACGGCGACGACGACGACGACGACGACGACGACGACGACGACGACGACGACGACGACGACGACGACGACGGCCCCCCCCCCGGTTCGGACCCCCCCTCCCTTGGCCCCCCCTCTTGGGCAAGGAAGGGGCTTACCCCCCCTGGTTCGAAATCCCCCCCCTCCGGGGAGAGGGTAGGGCCCCCCCCCCAGTTCGAACCCCACCCCCCCTTCCAGTTCGAACACTCCTCCCCTTGGGCAGAGGGGCGGGCCTCCCACCTGGTTCGGATACACCCCCCTGGAGGGGGTGTCCCCCCTGGCTAGGGAGGCCGGTGTCCAGGGCCCCCCCCCCCCACGGTTCTCATGGGTGCTCCCTGTGCCCAGTGTTTTTTTCCAGGCGAGCGTCCACGAAACGCGTTCTCTGATAGCGTCGAATGTCGCTCAATTGCTCCCAGTATCGCCCACCTAGCGCCCAACAACGCCCCACAGCTCCCAATAGCGCCGAGTGGCGGCCACGCGAGAGAGATGCATTTCATCCGCTGTGCGCCCTGCGGGCACCAGTGGGGCGATAAAGAGCTTGAGTGAGTTGCTCTCAAACCCACCCTTGGCCTGGTCTTGGCCTGGCCGGTTGGGCCTGGTGCCCCCCGCTCCCCTTGCCCATGGCCTGTGCCGGACGGGCCTGGGTGCCCCACGGGAAGTTCTGGCTGGCTCGGGGCCGGGTGCCCCGCCTCGCTCGGAGGGGCGGCGATCGGAGTTGAAGTGAAGCCCCCCGTCTCTCGGGCCAAGGGCGTGTGCAGCAGAACGGCGCGCAGGCTGCTGCAGTGCCGAATCCGACCGACCTCTCACCCTAACATTTTTGCGTCGTGAATCACGACGAAGGTTTTTTCGGAAGCCGGGCAAGGGCTGCTAAACCCGTGGCTGCTAGAATTGACCTCCGGGAAGTTGTCTTCGTCCTTGCGGGAAGAAGCCCGTTGACTGTTTCGCGTGCCGTGCCTCATTCCGGGAAGCTGTTTTTCCCTTCCGGGAGGGCCGTTTTAGCAGCCACGGTTTTAGCAGCCTTCGCCCATCCTTCGATTTTTTCCCTTGCAAATTATAAACGCCTCGCGCAACCCCACCCACCCACCCAGAGACGAGGCCCGGACGGGTTGCCCTGATCAGGGATGTGTGCTGTGTGCCCCTCGTCCCCTGGCACATTCCCTTTGTGCGCCCCTCGTCCCGTGGCACTTCCCTGCGCCCCCTATTTCTAAGTCGGGCCTGTCCCCCTACAGGCCGATTTTGGACGAAAACTTTAGAATACCCAAACAATATTCGCCAAATACTCAAACATGGCCAAAGAATAGTCCCGAGACTATTTTTTTACTATTTTTGAATATTCCCCCTGTAGAGGGACAGGCCCGACTTAAAGCCAATTTTTCGATCCGTCCTGCTTCGGAAGAGAATGGGGTCTGAGATCGAGCTGGTCGTGCGCTCCGCCCCTTTTGACTGCAGCCATGCCAGGGCGAGCCACGTGTTCGGGCAGCTCGAGCTGAAGATCCAGATCAGTTCGGTCAGGTTTCGGGCGCCCGGGAGGACAGGATCCACAGGGAAATCAGAGTACAGCACATTTCAGCACAGCACCAATCATCCCAGTTCAGTACGGCCCCGCACGGCACGGCACAGTGCATCGCAGCACAGCGCCGCCATGGCACGATTTCATTTGAACGGGTATCCTCAGCATTGCCATTGCCCATTGCCAAACAGTTGGCAGTTCTGTGTGCATTTCTGGTCTCGTGGGCCCGTAATGGTGTGGGTCGGCAGCGGAGCCCCCTTTCCTCCTCCTCCTCTCTGTGAGGGGGAGGGATTGGTGCCAGGAGACTAGTCGTATCAGGGACACGATGTCCGCAAGGCTGCAGTCCATGGGGAAGTTCAGACACTTAGCGCACTGAAGTGCGCATGCTTGCTGCGATTGCTCGAGCAGCCGAGCACGTATGCTCCATCAGTGTTGTGATCGTTTTGCCGTGCTGTCCCCCCGTGTCATCAGATGGTGCAGAACCAGTGACAATGATGCGTTTCCAGATCTCCGGGAATCATTATTGTCCCGCGCCGCCAGAAAAGAATGGGCGAGTGCGCACGGCCGATGGACGCTGGAAGCCCAGAGTTCCCAGGACGTGTCCCGAGCCCTTCGTGTCATTGCATGGTTCTCGTCCTGTAGACGGTCGGGAAGATCGGATAGCGTGTCGCTCCGCAGGTTCTGGCCCGCCACGCTTCGGCGCGACGCGCTATCCACGTATCAGTCCTCGAGCGTCCACGTCTCGAGTTTTTCCCAGCCTTCCGCCCCGCGGAGTGGAGCGACACGCTATCCGCTTGCTAGGCGTAGCGTATCGCCGGGGCCGTCGCCGCGACGCGCTATCCAACAGTTCCCGGCCGCCATGCGTTGTGAGTCTCAGTATCGTCCTTGACCTTGTTCTCATACTGATGCCGGTTACGTATCCTGGTGTCGTGACGCATCCATTCTTGATTTTGCACAGGAGACGAAGACCAACAATCAGCAGATCAAGGAGCTCAAGGAGGAGCTCCAGCAGAGCAGGAGTCGCACGCAGAAGCAGCATGGCCCGTGCAGGGGAGGGCGACGAGGGTGCATCGATCGGGAAACGCTGACAGGGGAGGTGCGCAGCGGTGTAGGCTGGGAAGCATCTCCACGCCGCGGAGCGCACGTGTGTGGGAAGCGGGTGGGCGGGCGGGCGGGGGCGCTCCCGCCGTGCTTGGCCACCTGCCGCACGGCGAGGCTTCGCGGATGTATGTAGTGGAACGCCATGCCAAGAAACACCCTTCTTGGTTGCTTGGTTTTCGATGGTTTTCTTGGTTTGGGTTTCTTGGTTTGTAGTGGGTGCCTTGGGTTTGTAGTGGGTGCCTTGGTTTCTTGGTTTTCTTGGTTTGCAGTGGGTGCCTTGGGTTTCTTGGTTTTCGATGGTTTTGCTGTGGAAGGCGTGACGTCCCCGCAACAGAATCAGTGGAGGTCCTGGGGCCTCAGGGTGGGGTTTCTTTCGGAAGGCTTCTTGTGTTCGAGCTCCGACTGTAGCGCACCGTGCGTGGGAAGTGGGTGGGCGGGTGCGCTCCCGCCGTGCTTGGCCAACTGCGGCACGGCGAGGCGTCGCGGATGCCGACGGAGGATCCGTCACGGAAGCATGGCTCCAGCGATGGGCGCGACGATCCAGTCTTCAGCGCAGCGCTTTGGTGGAGCCGCAGAGAGAACAGAAGTCCCCGCGGGGCGTCCTCCATGAGCTCCAGAGGGAGAAGGCCGCGACGGCGCCTGGCGCTCAGGCGCAAGTTCTGGCCGAGCGCCACCTTCGGGCGCCGCGGGTGGTGACGCTCCCCGAGACCTGGGCGTTCCACATTTTTCGCACCGGGCGTTGTCGCACAGATTCAGGCCCCGGGGCCATCACAGATCGATCTGGCTCGAGACATGCCGCAGAAAGATGGGGTCCAGGGCTCGGGCCGTGGTCTTTTGCGATGTTGGGGATTTTCCGCAGCGTCGGATCTCAGGGCTAGCCCAAGGCAGGGCTGGACCAAAGCGGTGCTTTGGCGCTCTCGTGGGCCGTTTTCGTTTCGACTTCGGTTCGCGGTAGAGGCGGACTGAAGACAAGACGAGGGACAACAAGGGCAAACCGACAACGAAGAACACCGTTTGGGTTCCGCCCTGGCCCAAGGCGACCACCAGCGCTGCCAGGGGGGCCCCTGTGGCCTCCATGGGGGGCCCCTCCCGAGGTCCGGAGGCGCCCCGGTGCCCCGGCGCGAGAACGTGGGGAAGCACCCCCCAGACCCCCTCGCGTCGTGAAGAAATCACGACGGGAGGTTTTTCAGTATTTTCGCCCTCTGGGGGTCGCGTCATGAAAAAATCATGGCGTCAGGGGTCTGGGCCTGGGTCATCATCGGGGTGCCAGGGGCTACCAGGAGTGGTCCCGGCCCAGAGAGAAACTACACATTGTTCATGTCTATGTCTTCGAAGGTTTTTTGATTTTCTGGGGGGCCAAGATCCTCTCAGTTCTAACTGTTCTATCCTGGGCCTCTTCCTGGCCAGTAGGGGGCTAGGAAAAATTAGAAACGAGCACAATTTGGAATGAGCAATATTAGAAATGAGCGACGTGTAGCCTGGCGATGGCCCCAACCGTATGCAGGTCCGAGCATCGCGAGGCAGGTGAGATCAATGAGCGGGGCTGGCAAACGCATGGGGCTTCGAAGCGCGTGAGTGGTGCACCGAAATTTGCGGCGGGGGCGCATGTGGACGCAGCCACTGGGGCCTTCCTTGGAGCTCCGATATGGAGCCGCACGAGGCATTTCAGATGTGTGCCGAAGCGGCTGGCGGGGACGCCTGTGGACGCAGCCACTGGGATTTTCGCTTGAGCTCCCTCTGGGGCCACGAAACGTGTGAGGAGTGCCGAAGTGGGTGGCGGGGACGCACGTGGACGTAACCACCGCGGCCTTCGGTGGAGTTCCCTCAGGGGCAGAGGCAGGCAGGGGATGAGATGAGGGGGAGGACGGAGTGGGTGACCGGATGCGCTGCTGAGTCAAAACGGGGACCCAGATCCAGAGGATGGTTGGGAAAAAAAGATGGGAGACGGTGGGGGCTTTGGTTAAGGAGCGTGCACGGGAGGCTTCAAGCCCTGGAAGGTTCCTCATCTGATGAGGGCGGCGGCAATCTCCACTGCCAATCCGCGATCGGTTCCCCTGGCTTCCAGACCCTGGATTCCTTGTCCAATGCTTCCTTGTCCAGTGCCCCTTGTGGGGCCGGTGGGTGTGCGAGAACGTGCCGCCTTCGCGGCCAGCATGCTGGGAGCACCTCAGGGGCAAGCGCCATGCGAGTTGCGCCACTTGGACCTGAGATGGAGCTCCCTGTGGGGCCACGGAACGTGTGAGGGGTGTGCCAAAATGGGGCGGCGGCGCCATGCGCACTGCGCCGCGGGGACCTCAGGTGAAGCTCCCTATGGGTTCGGGGGGGCATCTGCTCCGGGGGGGGGCACGCATCGACCCCCAGTCGCCCCCTCCTCGCCGCCAGGGGGCCGGAGGGCCCACCCCGGCCTGCAGCGTGCGACCTCGCCGTCGGGGGCCTCTCGCCGATCTCTCGGCGTTGAGCCGCCCTCACCAGATAAGAGCTCTCGGCGTTGAGGCTCCCGCCGCCGATCTCTCGCCGATGTCTCGGCGTTGAGGCTCTCCCCCCTCTCGCTCCCCCTCACCGGGAGAGGGGGGCGTCAGCGGGCGCCCCCGACCCAGGCATCTGGCGTAGCGCTTCTGTTCGCAGCGCGGCTGGGGTCGTTCCTCGACGGGCACGGTGCCCGGCAAGGGCCCCTGGAGGGCGAAAACGGATCAAACATTTTCGGTAGTGTTTTTTTTGTCCGCGGCGCGATGATGTCAGGGGGGGTCGATGAATTGCCAAGTGCCCACAGCGACGAGGGCCCTCTAGGAGTCCGAACAAAAAAAAAGAACACGTCGGACACTCTTCTTCCCCCCTCCTCCTCCTCCTCCTCCTCTTCCTCCTCCTCCTCTTCCTCCTCCTCCTCTTCCTCCTCCTCCTCTTCCTCCTCCTCGTCCGCGCCCCCCTGCGGTAGTTAGGTTCATGACGTGCCGATTCGGCTGCGACCCTTGCGCAGATGTTCAAGATTGATCGGCGCTGTTGGTCCGGAATCCGTCGACATCCACGCGGTGTCAGAAACCAGCGCGCCGGTCGTCGCGAAGCGAGGCTGTCCGGCCGCATCCGAGGCCGTGGGGCCCCTCCCCTCCGGCGGGCCGCGGCAGAGGACGATCAGCGACATCGAGTTCAAGTTCGAGGAGAAGAAGTTCCGCGCACGAGAGCAGGACATGGCGAGAAGAGGGAGGAGGGAGGGGGGGAGGATGGGAAGGAAAAGGATGTGATGATGCTGTTGCTGCTGATGATGATGACGATGGTGGTGATGATGATGCTGACGACGATTACGATGACGATGACGGTGACGATGACGGTGGTGATGATGCTGATGATGATGATGATGGTGGTGGTGATGATGATGATGATGATTATGATTATGATGATCAGGATGATCAGGATGATCAGGATGATCATGACGATGATGATGATGATTATGATGATGCTGATGCTGATGCTGATGCTGCTGCTACCGATGATGATGATGCTGCTGCTGATGCTGATGCTGATGATGATGGTGATGATGATGCTGCTGCTGATGATGATGATGGTGATGATGATGATGATGTTGATGATGATTATGATGATGCTGATGATGATGACGATGACGATGACGATGACGATGAGGAGGAGGAGGAGGAAGAGCAGGAGGAAGAGGAGGAGCAGGAGGTGTAGGAGGAGCAGGAGGAGAAGGAGGAGGAGGAGGAGGAGGAGGGGTGGGAGGAGGAGGAGGAGGAGGAGGAGGAGGAGGAGAGGAGGAGGAGGAGGAGGAGGAGGAGGAATAGGGGTGGGAGGAGGAGGACCCAATCACTCACACCGGGGGGTACCAACAGTGGGATTGCTCAGTATAGGCAGACCAGGCCCCGAGGTCTTACACTACCCAGAGACCAACCCAGGGAGTGCAGTTCAGCGACCACGGGGCCCAGTCATTCCTACCGCAGTGCAGCCCCCGCACAGGCCACGACTTGGCACACCGCCCTCGCGTGGAGGCACTCCTCCAGGGGCAGGAGAAGGAAAATGAGGAGGAGGAGGAGGAGGAGGGGATCATGAGGGGGAGGAGGATGTTGCAATAACCCTCCTTCCAAGTTCCCTCGTCATGGGCCCCTACGAACTTGAATTTTCACTGCGGGGAGTTTTCCGTTGGGAAACAACCGCCCGAGGATCTGCAACCAACTCTTTTGACTTTGTGTCAGAGCCGTTCCTGGGACTGCAACGCAGCAAATCAACATGCTTGTCGCGCCCTGACAAGCCTAACTCGTACCAAAACACAAATCCTGGGATGTCAGCGATAAGAATATGTGAAACCCTTTCGACCACTATAAGACGGATGTGCGCGGCGCTATCGCGAGAGCCTCGTTTTGAAACGACGAATGTGCGCGGCGCATGCGCGAGAGCCTCATTTTGAAACGACCCGCCCTCCATCCGTGAAGCTTTTGCAAACTACCAGTGTGCGCGGCGGTACGGCGAGAGGCTCATTTTGAAAACGCCCCGCTCCCTGCTAAATGCTTGCCAGCTATCAAGACGAATTTGTGCGGCGCTATGGCCAGAGCCTCATCTTGAACACGGCCCGCCATCCATCTATCAAACTCTCGCAAGCTTTTAAAACAAATGTGCACGGCGCAGAGGAGGAGGAGGAGGAGGAGGAGGAGGAGGAGGAGGAGGAGGAGCAGGAGCAGGAGCAGGAGCCGGAGCAGGAGAAGGAGCAGGAGCAGGAGCAGGAGGAGGAGGAGGAGGTCCGGGGGGAGGGGAGAATGAGGACTAGGAGGAGGAGGAGGATGAGGAGGCGGAGGAGGAGGAGGAGGAGGATGCTGTGAGAAGTGGCGGGAGTAGAAGCAACATACATTTTGATTGGAGGAGGAGCAGGAAGAGCTCCCAGGAGAAGGTGGTGTCGGTGGCGGAGGTGGTGCTGGGCAGCAGAAAAATCAAGAGCGCCCCAAATTGTGGATCTTCGATTATCACGGGCACAGCGCATACATGAGGAGGATCCAAAGGTCTGATGTGTTTCTTGCTCTGTCGACGCGGGGCCCCAGGAAGTCGCGACCCTCCCCCCAGGGTGGGTTGTTCATCCCGCTGTGTCTTTGTTGACAATCCCGGGGGCCCTGACGGTCCTTAACGACAGAACAGATGGGAACCATATGCAAGTTGTTTTTTTTTGCACGGCGCTGGAGATATGGGGAGGAGGAGGAAAAGGAGGAGGAGGAGGAGGAGGAGGAGGAGCAGGAGCAGGAGCAGGAGCCGGAGCAGGAGAAGGAGCAGGAGCAGGAGCAGGAGGAGCAGGAGGAGGAGGAGGAGGAGCAGCAGGCGGACGAGCAGGAGCAGGAGCAGAGCAAGAGCAGGAGGAGGAGGAGGAGGAGGAGGAGGAGGAGGAGGAGGAGGAGGAGGAGGAGGAGGAGGAGGAGGAGGAGCGCGCAGGCCCTTCTCCGCGTTCACGCGCAGATGCTCAAGAGGCTAGAGGAGGAGCACTCCGCCCTGTTGGAGGCCGAGCGGCTGGAGACGACCGTCCACAGGCGGGGACGGGAGGTCGTGGGTAAGAGGGGGGCCCCAACAAGATCGAGTCGGACGCAACACGTGTTCCTGTGGGGAGGGCCCCAGACTTCTTGGGGGCCGCGCTGGGGTGACTGAACAAACGCGCGCGCGCGCCAATCACGCATGTACACGAGAGGGCTCCGCTCGTCATTGTGCCTGATGGGATGTGCCAGCAAGTTCCGATCCGTAGTCGCACCCGCGTTTCCATGAGTATTCCCAGCCACTTGCGGGTGGGTGGGAGGTTTTGCGAGCGATGCACTGGACAGTTTCAACTTGTTCAGATTCATTCTGGCCAGCAGATCGCGCTCCATATTCCAATGAGCGCGCCCCATCGATCACCTTTCCCGGTATCACCCCCCGCCGCTGTCGGTCCCATGCGGCCGCACGCGTTGTTCTAACAAGTGCACGTTGTAGAAATACGCGTCGACTAAACCATGCGGGCCACACGCGAGCGCGCACATCCCAAGATGCGTCCGCACCAGGGGTGGCCTCATACATGTGTAGGAGCTGCCCGTAAGTCGAATGAGACGCAGCAGGGTGCTGCGACGCACGCGCGCACGTCGATAACCGTTTACACAGTCATCGCGCACCCGCCAACTCTGCCCAACAATGCAGTACGGGCCGCGCGAGCGCGTCTGCGCGCGCGCATACCGAAAACCATGGCAAAACCTTGTTGGCTTGCTCAGCATGTGCGAAGCTATGTTCGGACACGCGTGAGCAGCCAGTGGTTTTGCAATCGTGCGCGTGCCAGAACTTTGCCTGGGACGTGCTGTCTTTCGAGTGGGGCGTTTATGGGCCGCCAGAGGGGGTGGACTTGCTGTACTTTCCTTGCCTCTGCCTCTTCTTCCCCTTCTCTATCGGCATGGATGGGCCGGGCCATTGTTGCCCGATCGTTTCCTCTCACACGGGATAGTGACCACCACTTCCCCCCACGGAGGGTGGGATTTTCTGCAAACAAATATTGCCGAATTTTTGTGCGCGTTCATGTTTTCATCATGTTTACCAGCACCGCCGCCATTATCATTGCCTCACAATTGCCACCAACAGCATATCCACGCTTGTTTTCATCACCATCACCTTCGTCAGCACCATTGTCGCCGTCACCTTCACCACCGTCATGATTACCACCATCGTCTTCATAGTCGTCGCCGTTGTCGCCGCCCTCGTCGCCAGCTCAACAACCATCTCGAACCAGCGCCGTTGCGCCTGTGGGGTTTTACCAACAAGTTTCGGGTCGGTGGGTTTGATGTTTGCTTGAGCATGGGAGTTGACGGCTTCAATATTCCCAACAATGAGACTTTACTTCCCGTTGGAGAGTTTGGGGTTATGGCCGCGGCTTTTAGTATTGTTTTGCTCGGGCTATTCTGCACGAGTGTCGATTTCAGAAGCACAATGGTGCAATGCGCAGGAAGCCGCACTCGAGCCCCACCCTGTCACCACCGTGGTTAGAAAACAGTGTGCCGGGCACACATGTTGATCTAACACATGCGTTTCGTAAGACCCCGTGTCAAACAATGCCAGGCGGGCCTCACGCGCTGGCACACGTCAAACCCTTCTAGCACCACTGGCTTAACACAGCTTTACGCACACACGTTCAACCATCATGTGTGTGTGCGTGTGTGTGTGTGTTCCAATGCATCCTTACATCTGTTTCGTGCGGCCGCACTCGCTGAACTCATTATTCCATCACTCATTCATGCTGCACGAGTGCCGACGTGTTCACAGCAGACATGCTGGCATCGCTGCGCTTGCTGAGATACGAGGTGCTCTGCTCGCCTGGGATCGCTCGCCCGGCGGGAGCATGGAGGCCTTGCACGCCCTGCGCGCCCAGCCCGAGCGCGGGCCTGCAGGGCACGCCCGCCCCGCCATGCGCGCGCGCATCTCGGAATCCTTCAACGACCACCGCGCACCCGCCGATCCTTTTCACCACTGCAGTGCGCCAAGCCTCGGGGCCGGCGAAGAGGGGGGTGATGACAAGGGGGGGGTGGATATCATGGCGTGGGCCATGACATTTCCCCAGATTTCATGGCGCCTCGTCTGATTCCATTACGTCCCTGGCCCCCCTTCTGGGCCGCGCACATGCCGCCGGTCATGATTTGCACCCCCCCTCTTGGACACCCCCCTCTTGGCCGCTCCCGAAAGCCATTCGCATGCCAACATGCGGGCGTTCACGCGTGAAAGTACCCTAAAGCCCACGGTGCATTTGCCGAGGCGACGCGTGCAAGAGAAGAGCTTCTGCGCGCGGGCCCCTCTTCCCCGTCCTCGTCACCACCATCGTCATCATCACCGCCAACGTCGATCCTGCCGTCGTCGCTCTCAATACCATCATCAGCAGCGTCGCCGTCGCCGATGTCGTCACCATCGCTGCTCGTCCGCCCGAGCCATAAAAATCTCCTCGAGAAGGACCTCCGTGGTCTTGCGCCAGCTGGGTTTTGCCACCAAGTTGTGGAAGGATGGGTTGGTCGGATATTCGAACATTGAGGTTGACTACTTCAACATCATAACATCGCTTGCGCACCATGGGTTGCACCCACTAGGCTGTGTGGCGTCGCCGTGTTGGGGCCCGCCCGCTAGCATCGTTCAGTGCGCGTTGGCCACGCACGGTGACCTGGAGTGGCCGCCCGTTCCGCTCGGAACTTCCGTCGCT